CTTTTTAAAATAAATCTATATATGTATGTGTGTATATATATATATAATAATCTCTCAAAAAATCTGAATTACTAAAAAGGAAAATTCCCTAGGTGAACTTGCAACAAATTCTTTTTTTTTTTTTTTAGAAAATGGAAAACTATTTTCTTTCTATAATTTTTATTTTATTACTTAGAAAAGAAAAATACTAATTATTTTTTAATTTTATATGTCAATTAGTAAAAGGCATGAATAAAGCGAATTATTTCTTTTCATAATATTTTTTTTGATTAAATAATAAAGAAATTATATGAATTTGAGATCTTTGTAATTATGCACTGCTAACAAATGATACACATTTGAACTATATTTATTTTTAAATAAAAGTGATTGCTTATAATGATTTTAAAAATCAAATAGATGAATTAAAATAATAAACTAGTCGATTGTCTTTACAGTCACTATGCAAATAATCATCTCGAAAATAAAAATTATAATCTCTATAACATTTTTTTAGATTAGAAAAGGTTTTATGTGTAAGAGTCTTGAATGACGAGTCAATCATCAATTCAAGCCTGAAAGATAATTTCCATTTATTTGAAATATGAAAGTAAAGAAATAATAGTTTATTTGTTGGAAAGATTAAATTTATAGATTCAGGGCTCAACATATATTAAACTATCAATTTATAATTTTATAATATAATTGTAACACTGTAAATTAAAAAAAATCAAACCATAAATATAAAACTTAAAATGATATGACAAATTTGAGAAAAAACAATTAATGTCATAAAAATTATAAAAATTATAAATAAAAATATTTCAAGATAAATAAAACATATGACACATATTTTACCTTTTAAAAATTTCAACTGATTTATTAATCAATATGGGTCCTAAATTGATAGATTTTATCTTTGAAACCCCGAATTAATTATTCACTCACCTTTCACATTTCAAATTAATTACATTAGTCATTTTAGATCTCGTGGGGTGTTGATAAAATACTCAGACGAATAAATCTTTATTAATGAATGATAAATGAAAAAGTAAATAAATTATTATTAAATAATATAAATATATTTGTTCATATTAAAGATTCGGACTATTACGTGTGTATAAGTATAAAGTAGAGTGAGGGTGTAGGGGTCTGCCGCCTGCCTCGTGGGCTTGGGCCATAAATTCGGCGTTGAATCACAGGTTGTTGGATATAAGCTGAAGTTTTTACATGAAATCAGATTGATCTCGTAATTGATTTTGATATGAAAAGTCCATGCCTTGCCTAAATTTGAATAAGATGTTTAACCAAATTATTCGTACCAATGACCTCGACCAGGTTGAACGTTTTTTGATTCATTGTCGGTTTAAAGACCTGGAAAACAGCGTCGAGAGTTGTATCGGCGTAGAAACTTCAACGCTTAAGTCAGTGTTCGAGAAAAAAGGTGATGACATATACAAGATATGTAAGTATAAAATGCTTAGAATGTGTAGAATGTAAATTATCATATCTCACCGTTTTATATAGTAGTATTACCTTGTTGCCTAAGACTGCCCGACTAGGCTGGCCGAGTGCCCGAGCTACCGGACTGCCCAAAATTGCCAATTTTGTTAGTCCACGTGTCCTTCTTATCTTAATTATATTCCTTCTTATACATATGTGGTGTGTTCACATTAGTCAAATTCATTAAATAGTCTAATTATGCTATTAGCTCGGTTTTCCTCAAACTAAGTCGCTTTGCCCTTCAGCGATCAAGTTTACCTATTAGATCGTACATCGTCATGTAGGTCTCCAGATGAGTTTCAATCAGACTAGTGGAGATCCCTAGCTCGACTTGTTGGCGAGCTATTGGATCTGTTAGGTTATCATCGACTTGGTGATTCCCCGACCTCTGATGTCCTTGATGTCTAATCGATTTGTCGGTTCACCAGAACCGGTCGAAACGCTCTTAGGTCGTTCTCGACCTGAATATACTGGTATAGTATCCCATTGTTGAGGTTCTTTGAGGAACGTCGTATTGTGCAAGTCACAAATCTAGTCTACCAAAATAAGCCTAAGCGAAACAAATCTAAATGGTAGATAGAACATTTATGACCTAAAATTTTGCAGGCACCGAGACGACAACATGGCCTACGAGGCAGGACGAACGGTTTTGAGATGCTCTTCTCGCCTTTCTCGTGTGTTCGATCGCTCCATGATTACCATATCTCGTTGGACTATGCAAGGATGTTGGGTCGCTATGTGTTGCTCGGTTGTTGCGTTGGTGGCGTGTGGTGTCTCGCGGTTGGCGCCGCGTGCGATCGCTACTTGGTTGCGGCTGGGTTGCGGCGGTCATGGCTAGGGCGCTGCCGTGGTGCACGAGTTGACTCTGGTGACCTCAGATCTTAGTTGTATAACCCAACACCGTTTGCGTTCGTCTTGGTGGGTGACATGCTAGGAGATCTCTCGATTGGGATTCCTAAGAGACTAGGTGTGTATTTATGTGTGTATGCTTATATCTCTAAAATTTCAAGAGCTGTAGTACCTTTATAGGTTACAACAGGGACCCTAATGAAGTGTTAAATATGGACTTCTCAAGTATGGACCTAGCTGTGGGTCAAGCCCACTCTGCTCATATACTTGAATAATGTTTCGGTCCACTAAAAAAATATTATTGCATCCACATTTAGCTCCTAATTTAAATTGAGGATCTAATCATAATTACTTGATTTACCTCCTCATATTTAAGATATAATGTCCATCAATTAATTTAATCCCTAACAATATTATTAATTGACTTCTTGAACCGAATCTAGTACCACTCAATTCATTATTATTCAGTTCAAACTCAAACCACCTGCAAGGCGTAATATAATAATATTTTTTAGCTCACTTTCGGAGCATCATTAGACTAAGAGACACGGTAACCATAAATATCCAAACAACACACCATACACACAACATCACTATCCTACTCACATTAGATTATTGACTCAGTAAAATAGATCTTACCTTTTAGTGAATTAATGTAGCAACTACTGTATGCACGTGCATGTTTTCTTAGGGGTTAAGTGCGAAGTATTTAACTGATGTTTAGTTCGTTTACTTGGTCAGTATAAAACAAATTTATCATCTCTGGGATTCCTTCAATACACAGAGTGTACTATTGCAATCAATCAGTCAAGATAGACTGTATAATTAAAACTACCACCGTCACGATGGGTTGTTCATTTCCATCTAGGTTATGAACTAAGTATTCATGTGTTACAAGTAAATAATAATATTCCATTCGTGGTGAACCATAATCATCTAAGTGTAAAACATCATAACACAAAATTGTTTAATTAAATATGATTATCATTTAATAGAAAAAATAGTGTAAATAACTCATAAAGTCAAGCTTTTAGCATGTATAATAACATTTTTCCACTCATACTTAAAAACTTAGGCTTTTCTTAGTATAATCTCTCAATCCTTATTTTAAAAGACCTATGTATATCCTATCGCCAAACATCTTACTCTCACTCCCTCCACGTGTTTGTCGAAGACCTTTGTCGGCAGACTCCTTATGAAAGGATTGGCTAGGTTGTCCTTCGATACTATTTTGACAACCAGGACGTGTTCTTTTCCAATGATTTTTTTTAGTCTTTGCCACCGGAAGGTCAGGTTGAGTGTTAATTCTCCACATATGCTTAAGTATGAGAGGTTCATTGAATTGTTTGATATCCTGAAAGCTCAGGCCCCCTTTGACTTTAGGTAGAGTGACCAGATTCCAGCTTCTCCAATGAACGACCATTCCTTGATCTCCCCCTTTGCTCCACTAAAATTGAGCAATTTCTTTACAAGTTCGAGGTGGAATTTTGAACTAGGACAAAAAAGACAGACCGAGAATAACTGCTTTGATTAACACCTTTTTCCCTACTGTAGAGGTACTTATTTTCCCACTTACAAGTCTCTTCCTTATTGTTTGCACAATGTAGTCAATAGCCTCCTTTTGAATTTGCCTAATCCTTAGTGACAGGCCGAGGTACCTTGTTGAACTGTGGGCTTTGATCCCTACCAACATCTCACATATCCTCTGTTGGGTTTGAGCAGGAATATTCTTGCTATGGAAGACTATCGAATTCTCAAGTTTACCTTCGGACCAAAGAAAATCTGATAAGTCTTTCTCTTTATATATTTTTTTTTTAAAAAAAAAAAAAACGATAGATTTATTGAACTAAAACACTTAATTACAACAGACTGAATAGCAGGAGTGGGAGGACTACATTAGGCAGTCTAGAATCAACAACACACACCACAAGACTGAACAGAAAAATAAAACTCCACACAGGAGAATACACACTCCCCAAAAGAGAATAAGACAACCCCCACAGGGTAATAACACAAACCTCACGAAGAAGAAATAACAAAATCACAACCTGTAGAACAAAACACGCACAAACACAACCACAACTAAAAAAACACAAAACAAAATAAAATGAGAGCCCTTCCACAACAACAAAACCAAAAAGATAACTGAGGTCTTCAATTTACAATGGACACCTCTGAGGAACTGGAGTTTCATATTTACCACACCATTAATTACTGAACCACACCCAGTCGAGCAAAATACAATGAATTTTCAACTAGGCAAATCCCATATTCACATGGCATATCAACAATAATACTGGTATCAAAATACAATACAAATCAATAAGCCCAAGCCAAAGTTAAAATAACAAAGTTTTTCTTAATTTTCAAACTTCAACAATGTGACCAAGTACACAAATCGTACGTACACACATTTTGTTGTTTCATCCACAGTAGCCTATGTTCAGCCTTGGCAGAGCAAAAGAACCTCACTTTCAAGCACATACAGACCACCCACTAGCAAAATTGGCACAATATTTCCGAAATATTGTTCATCCTTAAAAAAGATTTCTCCAAACAAAGCCTGCTCTAGAATAAATCCCAAACAAGAAAATACACACATCTAGCTATAACATGAAAGCTCTATGTACATCTCCTTGATTTCAAGGCTTAAACAGCTTTTGTCCCATTCAGACATCTATCAGATCATCAAAATACGACTCTGGTATTTCTGAAGGTGAAGACAGTGTCGATACACATTTGAACTGCACAAAAGAGAGAAAACAGAAACCAAAATGAGTATGAAAGGTATATAATATAAACAGATAAAAAACTGAACATGAAGAGTAATAGATATGTACAAACCCTGTGCTGCTTGTATTTCTCTCTGATGGCAACCAAAGAACCACCTTTTTTACTCAATTGCAGGTCATGAATTAGGTGGACACATTCTTTTAGGTCTGAAGCTTTATACGCTGACTGGCGCTGTAGAGCCAAACTCTGCATAAAGTTAACTCATTGGTTTAAATATATACAAGGTTGATCAAATTTTAATTGTTTCCTTAAGCAAAATCTAAAGTAAAAAGTTACTTCATACCCAAGGATGTTGCTTAGGATGAAGAGTAAATCTTGCAAGGAATATGACCGATGCAGCCACCAATGATGGCAAGAATTTCACACATCCATAATCCAGCAAACTTAGCTCTGCTAGATAGTAACCCAAGAACTCTAACTGCAAGCTCGAATGCTGCAAAAAGAAAGACAATAATACATTACTACAAAAAGGAAAATAGTGAAAATGGTCGAGCACTAAATTTGTTTATGGAGAATAGTCTACATACAGAGAAATCCAGTTCTAACTGCAAACCACAATAACCATGGAGTATAACTGTTTTCACTTTACATTAAGAGTTTTTCATAATTGTGCTAAACACAAGGGGCATAATTTATCCAAATATGTTACACAATGGCCTAAATGAAAGAATATTGCATTCGGAACACAAAATTGTATACCTCATTTTCTTCTTGAGCAATCCTAGTAATTTTCCTGCAACATCAAACATAAAAGCATGCGCCCTTTTAGCCAAATGAACAACAATGGTACAAAAAATTAAGAGAATTTCTAAAGCAAGTCACATTATACCTAAGAAATGTCTTCACAGTAGGATTCCCCATTTCAAAATTAAGGGATTTGAGCACATCAGCTTCCATTTTCACAACCTCAGCCTTAGTGTAGGTGTTATCAGTTATATAGCAAAAATCTTCCACATGTGGAGGAGTAATCTCTTCATACTTCCTATAAGCCACCACAACATCACAAATACATATCAGCAAACTTAGAACTCAGAAAATATTGCTCGATAAAGATATTTAATGTCAATAATATTATTTCTTACGAGGCAATGAGCATTGAAGAAACACCAAGAAGCTGAAGTTTTTGCCGGTTAATGACATTCGTTGATAGAAACCGGTCAATGTAGGAAACTGTTAAATACAATGTGTCTGAAAGAAGCTTGTACTCCTCGGCAACCTCAACTAACCAATCCACCAAAACCCCTCTCATGTTTGCATTTATGTCTTTCTGAATTATCTCCAAGAAATGCAGCAAAGGCCTTCTCTTTGCCTCTTCCTGAGTTAATATTAACCAAAATTTTAGAAACCCAGAACAAATAAACGGAGTTTAAAGTGATCAACCATTCTTGGCCAGGAAAAAATTAAATAAATAACAATTCCTAAACCCTAACCCCATCAGTAGTTACAAACAGAAACAGACCAAATCAGGAACTAAAAGAGCATATTGCAGACAAAATCAACAAACCAAAACCTAAAGAAACCAAAACCAAGTGAAGTTCAATCAATCAATTGTCCATAAACAAAATAAAATGGCACGGACCTCCATTTTGCGAAGATACTCATATATATCAGAAACATAAGCTCCGCACATCTGCGGGTCGTCCCTTTTCCCGTCCAAATCAATCTGAGGATCATTCCCCTCTTTAAACCTCTTCTTCCCCTTATCCGCACCCAATTTCCCTCTTTTCAAGCTCTTCCTAGGCTTGCTTTTCCCCTTCCCCTCCTGATGTTTCCCGCTCAGGACATCTTTTTGCGAGGATAGAATGTTCTGAATGTCGCCCAGCACCACCCTCTGCTTCTTGTTCTGCTCGCCGGCGGCTGCCTCTTGCGCGGCTCTTTTCTTCGCCGCCAGGCGAGTGACCCTCCCGCAATTCTCTTGGTTCGCCATTGCAGAGCAGTAGAAATGGAGAGAACACAAGAAAACCACAGAGAGAGAGAGATTAAGAATGGCCGGAAATTGTAGTGGGAGGGAGTCAGAAATGGGTTCTGTCTGCGTATATAATAGGCTGCAAATATGCGCGGCGGAAATGAAATGCCGCCATTGACAGAGGAGTTTCGAAAATATTTTGGGGCGAGCGGGGTGGTGGTGTTTGATGGGACAAAAAAACTTGAAACCCAAATCGAAAAAATAAAGGGGGGTTTTGGTTCAAGACTTCAAGGCGCGGTTTTTTTCTATTTGTTTTTTAATTTTAATTTTAATTTTACTATTCAAATTTTTGGGACCGTGGCTCTGTTAAAAAGTTCCAAATTTTGAAAGATTTGTGAGTTTTCCCGGCTTGTTGCATTGACTTTCAATTTTTATGTACTTGGCAAAAATAAATAAGGCAAGTTCAAGTTACCATACCACATTGAAAATGAAATTCGATTGTATTTTCTAAGTTCTTATTATTTTGATTTCCAAAAAAAAATGAACATCATCAAAAGGAAAAATAACGACTATTATAAGTATTGTAATATATATCTATATCTATATATATTATTGATTCGTGTTTTGATTCGTGTGTTTTGGTTATGTTTCCGTATTTGTGTTGTGCGTGTCTTGTATTTGTTGGTTTGGGTCGTTGACCCCTGTGAGCCCGAGTGTCAATCTGTACGCTCGAGTGTCACTTTATTATCCTGTTGGGGTCCGACACTCGAGTAGTTGTTTTAGTTGTTTGGGTTGGTGGTTAATTTGGTTGTGAGTGTTTTTTATTCTAGCCGGGATTCTAAGCGATTTTCTGACTTGTCCTCCCACTTTTTTAGCTGTTGGCTGCTGTGTATTCAGCCATTGGCTGCTGTGTATTCGCACATTTGTGCATTTTGATTAAATATTATCTACCGTTTCGGGAAGAAAAAAATATATATATATATATATATATATATATATATTGAAAGAGGTTGTTGGTAAAATCAATTGTGAAAATCTAAAAAAAAATAAGTCAAATGTTTGACTTACCAATTATGGAAATGTTTTTGAAAATTTATATTTTGTTATCACCTGCTTAAAAATTTGAAATTGAAAATTTAAAATCAGCTATGGTCCACACATTAGTTTGGAAATCCATGCTAAAAAATTTGGATTTGAAGATTTAAAATCAGTTATGGTCCACACATTAGTTTGGAAATCCAACTAGAAATCCATATCATTTTTTTTATGTTACAGTAGAATATTTTTTAAAATCATGCGCGTAAGACTTATCACACGTTTGCTATTTCTTTTTTTTTTCTTTGAAAAACTATTTGATTTATACTAAAATTTCATATCTCAATTTTCTTGAAAATTTGTTCACGCTATAAAATCTGTCCCAACCAATTGATTTGAAAGAGAATCAACAAACTTATATAATAAAAGTATAGAATCCTATATAATTATATATTACAAAATTATGTCAATTGTTCAATTGATAATACACTGGATTTGTTAAATTGATAAGTCGTCAGGCTAACAAAATCTCATCCTTAGGCGTAAATCACGGTAAGTTTAAAAAAATTCATTGTTTTAGCTTACAAAATCCATCGCAGACTGGTTTAAAAAAGCTCATCGTTTATCTATCTACACAACTGCAATTGTGAATTCTACAACAGTATCTATAAAATTTTATTTATTACATAATATTTTGGTTTACAATCTCAATTTTTATTTGTAAATATGATAAATATGCATAAATTGTTAATCGTTTGCATTACTCTTAACTAGTATTTGATCATGTGCATTGGCACAGATATAAAACATGTTTTTGTTTGTATATATTAATTATACATGTACTTCTATCATATAAAAATTATTATTTTTCTTAAGGTATTTTTATTATTCAAAATAAATTGAGATTTAAAATTTATTTTAAACATGCAACGTTTACATTAGCAATATGAATAAAATAATATATATATTTGTGACATATATTAAAAAAATTTAGCATAAAAAAAAAATATTGGTTTTCTGACTTTTAGAAGAAAAAATAATATGTGCCAATCATATTTTTCTTCCAACAATGCAACTAAATATAACAGTTACAACTCTGAATGTGTCAATCAACTTTAAGTTCCAATATTAGCCATTACGTATTTGAATATTTTGCTACCAAATTTATAATTAATTTAGTAACTGATCCCAAAAAAAAAATTATATATATCAAGGTGTAACGTTTT